GCTGAAACAAGTAAAAAATGTATTTCCCACTCAAATTCCAAGCTAGGTGTCAGGCTGGCATGGCAGCTCAACTCCCTGAACACTCAGTGACATGGGCAGGTTGTATTTTCCAGAACTGACCACAACAGTATCTCTCATACCTCATACTCTTGTGAAATGTGGTCCTGATGTTTTTCCTATTAAAAGGGGGTATCTCATTGCCCTCCCCTTGACTCTCAACAAGTTTGCAACTGTTTTAACCAGTAGAGTTGGCAGAAGTGATGCTGGAAGATTTTTGAGGATAGATCCTAAAAGGCCATGCAGTTTCCTCCTTGTTCACTGGAATATTCTGCTTGGGGCTCACGAAAGACATCCAACTACCCTGAGGCCTCCATGCTGAGAGCATGCCAAGCCACATGGAGAGGCCATGCGTAGGTGCTCTGGTTGGCAGTCCTCATCTTTAGTCATTCATTCCAGTCTCCAGACATGTGAGTGAAGTCTTGGATCTTCCATACTAGCCCTTCAGCCAACTGAGTACCACTTAGTGCTCTCAGTCAAAACCACCAAGAATGAAAGAATTGCCTAGCCAAGCCCTGGCCAAATTCCTAGTCCACATAATCTATGAGAACAATAAATTGGCTGTTTTAAGCCATGAATTCTGTAGTGGTTTGTTAAACACCAAAAGTAACTGGAACAGGGACTCAGGTTCCATCCAGCTCTTTGCTCATCCATACCTGGGTGGCAGACTGGTCATTGCTTTTCAAAATGGTGTCTAGAGCTCCAATCATCACATTTGCATTCCAATAGTTGATGTTAGGGGCAATGAAGAAGGGGAAAGGGCATGACCCAACTTCTGTTAAGGAAGTTCCTGGAAGACAGCTCAGGACATGACATTATATAAGCCAATGTTTGTTCACCTAGTCATATCTTGCTGTAAAACAGGGTGTGAAACATCGTGTTTATTCTAGATGACTATGTGCCGAACTAAAAATTAGGAGTTCTATTACCTAAGATAAAGAAAATGAATATTATGGGTGTCTGCCACAGTATCCAAAATTTCCTTTGCTTCTCCCTCCTCCTTTATCCCTCCCTCATTTATTTCAACACTTTCAGCCCACCCCAGAGTCCTGACCTGCACATCAAGGCTGAAGAAAACTATAGATCTTCAGAGTGAAAATCCAAAAGACAAATGAGTGCTTCTCCAGCTAGTATTGAAGATGCCTTTCAAGGCACAATTTTTGATGCTAACAAAGTTCCCCAAAGGATGAGGAAAGGTGGTAGGTTGGGCAGGGGAAGGAGGATCTGGCCTGTCATGTATATTAGGTAAGCATCTGTTAGCATGTCCAGCACTGGCTCATCTAATCCTTACCCTAAGCTATGGCACTACCATTATCTTATTTTCACAGATGAAAACACCAAGGCTCAGAAAGCTTGTAACTCACTCAAAGTAACACAGCTAGGAAGTGACAAAGAGAGCAGAGCTGCTGCAGCAGCTGTCACAGCTCATCCCTGAGCACAAGGTCAGGTGCCAGACCCCAAGGTGGTGGGTAAGTAAACAACAGGTCCAAGTGTATCCAATGGCTGAACTCATCAGAGGAGCTGCCTGTGTTCTTCACTGCCTGCTGAGACTCTGTGCCTCTATCCTCCCTGATGACTCCTTGGTCATACAAGATTAGGGGGGGAATATGCCCAAGGGCAGGAGCCTAGTGTTGTGTTTAATCTGACACTTCTGGTAAGAGAAACATTCTTGACTCCTGTGAAGAGGGCAGGCTCCACAGTGGGGGTGAAGGGAGAGCTGGTGTATGGTGGGAGTGGCTGTAGCTGAGGCACCAGGAGGGTGTTCTCTTTTAGCTCAGGTTGGGTCACACTCCAGAGGACCATGCCCCAGCCTGAACCTTCCACATGGCTCCCCTCAGAGGCAGGCTTATCACTGCAAGACAGTCAGAGAGTGGGGGAAACCCTTAAGACATGTAAATCAGTGAGCTTTGCTGTGTAAAGAACCATTGCAAATGACGAAAAAGTTCTGGAGACTGATGGGGGTGATGGTTGTACAACAATGTGAATATACTTAATACCATTAAGCTGTTCACTTAAAATGGTTAAAATGACAAATTTTATGTAATATATACTTTACAACTGTTTATCAGCTCATGAGCTTATGGGTATACAGCTTAGGCTGGGCCAGGCTGGGCCTACCTGGGCTCACTCATGTAGCTGTGGTCAGCTGTCTGGTCACTTAGCACTAATTGGTGTAGGAGGGCCTCATTCTTGTCTGGTGGTTGGTGTTGGTTATCAGCTGGTGGCAGTGGTGACTGGGTCACATACCTCCAGCCACCTAAACCAGGCACATTCGCATGTTGGCAGTTGTAGAAGTCTCAAGAACACCAAGAGAATAAGTCCCAATGCACAAGCACTTTTCAAACCTTTGCTAATCATGTCTGATAGTGCCCCGTTGGCCAAAGCAAGTCACAATGAGAAATCCAGAGTCAGTGTGGGAGGAACAAACACGAGGGGGTGACTACGAGGAGATATGAACAAATTGAGGGCCACTGCTGCCACACAGGTTGTCCATGAATTACTGTGGCAACTACAAGGCAAGTGTGTGACTGCACAAGCACATTAATTTCAAAACAGAAAAGAAAGCTGGTTGCCTAAACTAGCAGCTACTTCAGTCATTGAAGGCACAGGATGCCCCCAGGCAAGAGTGCCATTTCCAAAAATGAAGACCAGAGAGAGAGAGCATTCTATTTAACATGAAGTCTTCCTACAGAGATCCAAAACAGAGCCCACTTCCTTACCTCTCAGGGATTTTTGCAAAGTCTAGGAGAGCAAGCAGAGTGCACCCAGCTCTTCCCCAGACTAGTTTGTGGAAGTGTCAGCCTCTCCCAGTACATCCACCCTTATGACCAAATCCTGATTCCTGGGCCCCACCCACATCAACACTGATATGCTGAAAATTTGGGTTTTAAGGAGGAGGAATGGGTGGTGAAAAGCAGGCAAAAATGACTCCTTCTATATTTTTCCTTTCTGCCCTGACCCAGAAAAGGGCAGCCACAGCTGACTATTCTCTTTCACAAGTGACTGACCTCTGTTCTGGGAGAAAGGGGCAGGGGAAGAGGAGGTATCCTGCCTAGTTGTGGAGGGCCAACCACCACAGCTAACTGGATGACAACAAAAGCAGCCACAACCCCAGCACAAGTCTGCATAGTGTGGTAGAGAGCCAGGATCAACCCCAGCAACTGCTGCTGAGTTACCTTGGGCAGGTTAGCCTCATGTAGTCAGTTTCCTCATATAAGTAACCCACAGACTAGATTAACGCCCCCTGCAGGATCCTATGACCTAATTCTTGCATACAATGGTCCACAGCACATAGAAGATGCTTAACAATTATGACTTGTCCTTCAAAATGGCTGTCTCCCAAGCCACAAGTGAAGGAAGCTTTTGAGATACAGGCCAGGGTAACAGGGCACTGAGGTTGCTTTGAAACCCGTGGCTGGGCAGAACATCTGACAGACCTCCCTTCATTCTTAGGGGAATTATGGCAGTGGCACCCCAGCCCCATGGGCCTCATTTCAGACAGTCTCCCTCCTCTGCCCAGGAGCCATCCCAAAGTCTCCACCTCACATTGTCCAAGGATGTCCCAAACATCCTTTGTAACCCTACTTCCCATTAGCTGTGGCAGGGTCAGGGAGGTGGCCTGACAAGAAGAAAATATCACTGTGGGGTTAGAGGACCAGAAGCCACCTTCAGGGTGATCCCTGAAGGTTCCAGGAAACAGACCAAATCATGGCCCCATGCAGCACTTCTCCAGAGTGTGGGAGCCACAGTGTGGAAAGAATTTGATTTTTCTCTTCCCTGAACCCCCCTCCCCAGTGCCAACCAGAGGGAAGTAGGGACCAGAGAGCATTTTTAATGACTTCATGTGGTTGCAGCTGTCCTCCAGGATGGAGCATCCTTTGGGGGAAAAAATAATTAGATTCTCATAGACTGGAGAAAGAATATGAGGCAAGGAGATGATGTTCTCTCATTCCTATTCCATGAGGCAGATCACCCCCAACTGCTGCACCTTCCCCCATTTCACATCCCCATGGGTCTGTCCACCTGATTTCACCACTCAGCACATTACCTGACCTGCAGCACACTCTGGATTACCCAGCTGCTAGAACCCAAGCTCACTTTGCATGTTTACTCTGCAAACGTTGTCCCCACCCGGTTCAGTTGGTTTATTGCAAGTTCATTAGTCTCTGGGCACCCCCAACTCCATCACATTCAATTTCTTATTTCTATATGTCAATTGCATAATGTTTGCCTGATCTTGCATGAGGTAACAAAAATGTCTCTGCTTCCCATTTTTTTTTAGTTAGGCAGGACTGGAGGGAGGAAAACAAGCAATAGCCCAGGAGTCTGCAGATCACACTGGAACTGGGGGACATTTGGAGGCTCCCTCACTTGAGCTCTCCCACAGAGGCTGGAAAGGATGAACTGCCACCTTTTCCTTATAGATTAAGCTAGGAATCCTGCAGGCTTCCTGCTGTCCCCTGCCTCCCTGTCTCCTCATGGCTAGGGAGATATGGCCATTGTTAAATTGGGGTGGGGGCACATAAGTATGGAGGGAGCTTCGTAGAGGACCCTTATAAATCTGTCCTGGCTCTGAAGCTCTAGATAGGAGCTCCTTTCCTTTCTCCAGGTTCAGAAACCTGGACAAATAGCTCCCCGCCTCCCAGGGCCAATGCCCAGCTCTGGATGGAGGGGGAGGAGAGAGTGGGCTGCAGGAAGGAGGGGGTGGCAGTGCCTCCACTGCTGCTGCTGCCACCCCCTGTGTATAAAACTCCCTTTGTATGCAGGTCGCCGGCTGCTCCCCATGCCAGGTGCAGCTGCCAGGATTCTCAATGCGGTTTGAACACAATTTGCCAGTGTTGGTTCAGCTCTGCTGGCTTCCAGTTGGGGGGCCATATGCTGCCTTTAATCTGCCTGTGCGATTCTCACCAATGTCAATAGGCGGGGGCGGGTGGGTGGCTCAAATGGCCCGAGAGCCCAGGCTGGGGTGGTGCTTCCACTGCTGCCAGGTGGTCCGGGTCTTCACACCAAGTACCATTGGTGGGTCCTTGCAGGAGGCCTCAGTGCTGGGCCTCAGGTACAGGCAGGCCCTGACCCCTGGCAGCTGCCCCTGTGTTTGGCTATGGTGCGTGAAACCCTCTCTGGCCGGCCATCCCCATAGCCCATAGCCATCATTGGGCCTTCCCCTCCACAGAGATCCCTGCCAAGGAAGTCGGCCAGGGAGGTGCCAGCTCTCTGTCCAGACTTCAGATTTCCCTCATTCTTTCTTTAATTGGATTTTTGGTCCTGCTGGGCAAAATAAGCTTTCCACTGGCAAAGCACTCTCGCCTCTTCTGAACGCGCGCTGGTGCCTGGCAGCTCTAGGCAGAACGTTGCTTTCCTCCCCCACCAAAGCATTCATCTCTTCTCTCCAGGGATGCAAGAGTGCTTTGCGCACACATATGCATGCACATGCACACATACCACTGCCACCACCATGTGCACACACACCACCACCGTATGTACTCACATACACATGCACATACACACACCATCACTATCATATGCACATACATATCACACATGCACACACCACCATCACTATATGCCCATACACACACCACACACCACCATTATGCACACACTGCCGCCATATGCACACATATACACACAACATACACGCCCCCACCATGTGCATACACCACACACACCACTGCCCAGTCCAGGCATATTCAGCCTCCTTCTAAAAAATGATTCTGAGGACTTCTTTGCAAACAGTGATTCTTACTAACCAGCTGAAGATCCCTGATCAGAATGGCCCAGATCTGGCCTCTGGCCTGAGCACACTCAGTGGCTGGGCTGCCTCCTACCCTGTAGTTAGATCCTCTTTCCCTGAAGCCCTGCAAGTCTCATGTTTGTGACCCAGCCACAGATTAAAGCACCAAGAAGCCACCTTCAGTCCTTCTTTTTTGAGAACTGGGCAAGCAAGCTTAGCTTCACAAGTGTTTGGGGGTGTTGGGGGGAGGGAACGGCTGAGGGAGAAGCAGCAGGCAAGCTGGAGTCTGACTGAGAAGTGGCATTTTACTAGTAACAGGCAACAGAAGACATTTGGATACTCTGAGACTTGGACTGAGCACTAGGAAAGAAAGGGAGGGGAGGAAGAGAAAGATGGGGGAGCATGAGGAGGAGGGGAGAGAAGAGAGGGAGGAAGGGAGAGGAGACTGGGAAGAGAGGAGAAAAGGGGGGGAGGGAGAGGGGAAGAGGAAGAGTGGAAGGGGAGGATGGGGTAGAAGAGGAGAAAGGGAGGGGAAGAACTGAGGTGGAGGAGGGGAAGGAGAGAGGAAGAAGAAGGGGTGAGTGAGACAAGCGGCCCAGGCATCTGGGCAGTGCGGAGATGAGGCCGCCCGGCCCCGGGGCCAGTGTGTAATCTCAGGTTTGCTGAATGAACCACAAGGCAGATCCTTGATCTTCACACCTACGTTCCCCTTACAATCCGGTATACTTTGCCCCCTGCCCCACCTTTTTAAGGCCTTATCACCAAGCATCTTTTTTCGCACAGCCATCCAGAGTGAGGAAGACCCGGAAACTTCAGGGCTACGTGAGCCATGGCCACAGCCGCATCAGCAAGCACAGGAAGCACCCAGGAGGCCGAGGTAATGCTGGTGGCTTGCATCATCACAGGATCAACTTTGATAAATATCACCCAAGTTACTTTGACAAAGTTGGTATGAGGCACTGTCACTTAAAGAAGAACCAGAGCTTCTGCCCCACTGTCAACCTGGATAAACTGTGGACCTTGGTCAGTGAGCAGACGCGGGTCAATGCTGCCAAAAACAAGACAGGAGCCGTTCCCATCATTGACGTGGTGCGATGGGGCTACTACAAAGTTCTGGGGAAGGGAAAGCTCCCAAAGCAGCCTGTCATTGTGAAGGCCAAATTCTTCAGCAGAAGAGCTGAGGAGAAGATTAAGAGTGTTGGTGGGGCTTGTGTGCTGGTAGCTTGAAGCCACATGGACGGGAAATCATTAAATGTTCACAAGTGAAAAAAAAAAGAAGGGGTGGGTAAGAAGACGGGGAAGGAGGAGGAAGGGGTAGGGATGGAAGAAGAGGAGGGTAAGAAAGGGTGAGAAAGAGTGGAGAAGAGGGGAAGGGAGAACTGGGGAGGGGGGGTGGAGGAAGGAAAGGAAGAAAAGAGGAAAGGACAGGGAAATGGGAGGAGGAAGAAGAGAAAACAAAAAGAAGAAAAAGGAGGGGGTAAGAAGAGTGGAGAAAGGGGAAAGAGCCCCACCCCCACCCCGCCGTTTTAAACGAGGAACGTTTTAAATAGAATCAGCTCCGAGGGCAGGCAGGGCTAAACCCTAACCTCTCCGGGTTCAGGCAGACATGTGAAGGAAATGCCGCTTGTGATATCCTCATTCCCACTCCCTCCCAGACCTGTCACTGGGGGAGGGTGTCCAGCAGTCCTCCATCCCTGTTCCTGTTCCTGGGCTCCAGAGACCCCGCATTTCCCAGAGTCTGGGCCCCTCCACTCTGGGCCTCCCCGTGCTAGAGACCTTCAAGGACCACCTTAAGCAGCCTTCCCCCGGGGTTGTGAACGTACCTATTAAAATACCCCGCCATCAGCCCCAAAGGCAGGCCGAAAAGCTGCCGATGGTCACATACATCATAATATTTCAGAGTCCCTGTTAACAAGCACCCATTAAAATTTGACAACCAGGTAGTAGCGCAGAAAGCGTTCGTTTAAAAAAAAAACTTGAGCGCTTTCTGCTGGTTCAGCAAGACAAAGCCGGTTTACCTGTCCCTTGCATTTTTTTAAGCCTAGAGCACGGGCGGCCTTAGCTCCTGGTGCAGCCTGCTTAATGGAATGCGGGGTGTTTATTTGCGAGGCCACATCTGAACCCGGTTTTTAATGAGCCTGCCGTTGTAAGCTCTCTGTCAGTCAGTCTGCCTTTTTTTTTAATCAAAAGATAAAACAGTCGGTTATCAAGGATTAATGACTCTTACAGCATCCATATGAGGCTCATATTTATCTTTTAAAAGAAAACGGAAGGAAGAAAAATGACCAGATTTTGTTTCAGTAAGCAGTTTACATCTGCTCTGGTAAGTTGAATTCATTCATTCATTAATTCAGTCATGTGTCTAGGAGAAGCCAGCAGGAGCCCCTTCCATCATAAGAACTTCTGACTGTGAAATAAACCCCAAGTAACCAGATTAACTATGAAGTATGTCTCCGTCAGGTTTTAGGCATTAGTTCAAGTGTAGTTTCTGGGCGTTCCAACTTATTGTAGCAAGTTGCCGGTTCTGGTATTCCAGGCAGCACTTCAGAAGAGTCTCTGTTTCCCCTCTCTGGCTTCAAAATAGAGCTCGCATGTGCAATGACATTATTGTACGGTGTTGATTTAACTGAGAATATCAATATTTTAAATAGATTCCCCTGTGATTCATATATTTTTGCATAGCCCAGAGTGTGTAAATATCTCTCCACATCTGAACACACAGAGGCGTATATGCACACATGGGCATGCATATACCCCCAAGAACCTGTATCATATATACATGTATGTGAGCATGCAGGGAGTATGGCTACCAAATATTCATTTAAACTTTAGGAGGAAAGGGTTGTTTATAATAGATAGTATGATACTGAAATATTTTATTTGGCAATCTGAGATATAATTTGGAAAAAATTAAGAAATATCAGCCTTGCTCTCATTCAAAAAAGGGCCTTGCTGTTTTCTAAGTTTGCTGTCTTCAATTGGCCTCTTTCTTTGTATGCCCTGTCCTCTTTCTGAGTGTGTATGTGCTTTGGGGGATGAAAGCTATAACTACTGCACGAGGATACTTGAAATCACAGCCACAAATGTCAAGGTGCTCCTTCCCACACCATCAGCAATGAGACACACTGGTTGCAATGCCGGCCATTTTGGAAATTAAATGATGTTTACAACACTACAGCACAGCACTCTATGGCTTCAAAGAAAGACAAATAAATACTGATTCTAGAGGAGGCTGGGGATCATAGACAAATTCAGAAAAGCCCAGTGAGGTCTGTCTAGTGTGGTTTAACCCCTCAGGGTCTCAGGCTCCTTGTCTGTAACATGGTGCTATTAACACCTGATCTACCACCCGCTGGGGAGCCAGAGAATTAGAGAAGAGAAGGGAATTTAAAGGAAATGCCTAAAGGGGATTATTTCAGAGTGGTGTAACTAACAGTTCAGTTCCTGTGGGAAGCATGTCACCTGGAGGACCTGGTGTTGTTTTGTAGATTGATGTTCTGATCTCTGGGTTAGGAAGAAGGGGTGGGAGTGTGAAGAAGGGATTCTAGTGAGAAGTTCCAGAAGCCCTGTCCTTATAATAAAACTCTGAAGTCCTGGAAAAGCTTCTGGACCATCTCATCTAAAGGGAGCTGGAAATTCAGGTGAGCGGCTATACCACCTATATGGTGCCAGCCATTTCTTCTGGTGACCAAAACCGTTAAAATAATAAAGGGCTTTGCCCACAAGATACTATCAAATACAAAGGAAAGAGTCATCACTTTTCATGGGAGAAAACTGGCAAACACTCCTTAACCAAATGGTGACGTTAACAAACCAAGATCAAGTGCCTCCCGATACAAAGCACTGAGAAGGGTATAGTATGGCTTCTATGACATTTTTGTCAAACATGCAGAACCTGAATCGAGTCATGAGGAAACATCAGACAAACCCAGGTTGAAGAACATTTTACAGAATAACTCACCTGTATGCTTTAAAAATGTCAAGGTCAAGAAACTCATCTAAAGACTGAGGAACTGCTCCAGATTAAAGGAGACTAAAGAGATATGACAATGAAATGCAATATGTGATTCTCAATTGGATCTTGGAACAGAATTTTTTTTCTTTTGCTATAAAGGACAACAGTGGGACAATTGAAGAAATGTGAATGCCTGTAGATTAGATAAAAGTATTATAGCAATGTTAATTTCCTGAGTTTGAGAATTGTATTGTGCTTATATAAGAGAATATTCTTGTTTCTTAAGAAATCTATACCAGAGTATCAGAGGTGAAGGGTCATCATGTCTTCAATTTATTCTCAAATAGTTCAGAAATATCTATATCTATAGCTATCTATACCTATCTGTGTGTGTGTGTGTGTGTGTGTGTGTGTGTGTGTAGGAGAGAGAGAGAGAATAAAGGAAATTGGTAAAATAGGTACCTTTGGAGAATCTGCGTAAAGGAGATAGCAGGAATCTTTGTACTATTTCTGCAACATTTCTGTGAATCTGATTTTTTTAGGCTGAAAATTAATAAATACATAAAGGACTTTGTGTTCCTTTTTGGAGCAGCAAGGACTGAGGGAGCTGGGGAGTGGGCTGGAGCCAGACTGTGAGCATGAAGACCCCCAAACATCAGTGGACAAGGAGGCCATGACCCAGCAGTGAGGAAATAGGTGCTGAACTCAGCCAAAAGTTGCTTCTGGAACTTTCTGCAGTATGTACACTGCAGCAGGCTTGGAAAGTGTTTGTTATGGCTCAGTGCCTAGCACAAGGCTCATCACCATAGTAGGTGGTCAATAGTTTTTGTGGCTGAATGAATGAATGAATGAATGAATATGCCCCTTCCTCTGCATCACACCACAGGGCAGCAAGCAGACTGCCCAGGTCTGACCAGAGCATTGCACCTCTATTTACTGGCCCTGGTTGTGTGAGAAGGCTTGAGCAACAGTGGGAGTCAGGGCTCCCTGCATTCATCCAAAGGCTTATTCGAGATTCATTATTTAAGCGACAGCACATCCCCCAAATAAACACGTGCGTCTTTGCAGCCTGCAGCTCTGGAGCACTATTAAACACGTAGCGGCGAAAGGCCCAGGCCCTCACTGCTGCGTGCAATTTCCAGCCGGCTGGCTATTCTTTTGTCACCGCCTTTTTATTGGTTTTCTCAAAGTGGTTACAATGCTGTTATTGTAAAACCCTCACAGCAGAAGAGCGAGAGAGGCGGCAGTGACGGAGAATGGAGCAATTTCTGCCGGGAGAGCCTGAACACCCGGTGCGGGAGTCTACCTAGTGAAAGGGGAGGGGGATGGAGCCTTTTCTTTGCACATGTCCACTTGACCCACTTGTAAATCCACTGGGAGCCAGGGAATTCCCTGGAGGATAAATGGCCTTGGCTCTTTCTGTCCCTGGAGAGGCCCCACTGAAGAATCTCAGCAGCCCCTCCCTCTTTAAAGTCTAGCCAAGCTTCTACATGTACAAGCAGGCCTGGCCCCTGGTGCTGGGGGGAGCCTAGAGAACAGAAGAGGGGCTGTGACTCCACCAGCTTTCCCAGTCCTCCCCTGCAGGAAAGACTTTTTTCATCCCACTGAGCTATATGCATGGAGGTAAAATTTACATGCAATAAAATGTGCATATTTTAAGTGTCCCTGTGCCTTTTACACCACCCAGCTCAAGAAATAGAGCATCACTGTCTAATACAACTTTCTACAAAGTTGAAAATGTTCTGTAGCTGTCACATGTGGCTATAGAACACTTGAAATGTGGCTAGTGCAACTAAGGAACCGAATTTTCTATTGTATTTCATTTAAGTTACATAGCCACATGTGGCAAGTAGCTACCATATTAGACAGTATAGATATAGAACATGTCCAACATCCTTAAAAGTTCCCTTGTGTCCCTTCCAGTCAGCATGTCCCAAGAGGTAACCCGTTGTCTAACCTCTATCACAGTAAACCAGGGTTTCTCCACTTGGGCATGATTGATATATAGGGCCAGACAATTGTGGGGCCAAGCTGTGTACTATAGGATGTTTAGCAGATCTCTGGCCTCAACCTCCTAGATCAGGGTGTCAAACTCATTTTCAGTGGGGGCCACATCAGCCTCACGGTTGCCTTCAAAGGGTCAAAATAATTTTAGGGCTGTATAAATGTAACTACTCCTTAACTGTGAAAGAGTTGAAGTTACATTCAGCCCTTTGAAGGCAAACACAAGGCTGATGTGGCCCCCAGTGAAAATGAGTTTGACACCCCTGCCCTAGATGTTCAGTAGGACCCACCCCCTGTATAACCACCAAAAATGTCT